GGGAGAAAAGTGCAACAATGAATGAATAGAAATCAAAGTCTCTGTAAACTTTCATTAAAATTAATAATAATTAAAAAAATAATCAATTTGGTCCCAAATATATCGTAATTAAAAGAATTTTCCAAGGTACTCTAAGCAAAGTCTCAAAAGGCTCCAAATATTTTATCCATGCCTTGTTAAATGTAAACTAAACTTTTAGTAATAGTCCATGGATGCTCACAGTATGAAATCATACAAATTTCATACAAGATAATAAATACATCATTATTTTCTAATATGCAGACATACATAACTCCTGACTTGACAAAGTTACAGCATCAGCCTAAAATATTTAAATAGCCAGTAATAAAATTTGTATAAACTGATTTGTATTATGCATTCTGAAAATAATAATAACACATCTCACCAATTCTCTAACAATTTTTAAATAAACTCACTCAGGAATAAAAAATTTTAAGAAATGCCTTAAATATAGATATACCTTTGGCAACTGATGACACGCTGCAATCTTCTGGTGGAAGACCTGTCCCACCATCCTTCCAGTATGGATTCAATTCTCTTTCCAGCAATCTAGACTGTAACAAAACATTTTAAAAAGTTAGAGTTTGAATACAACTCCACAAAAAGTTTTTCAAAACAAAAAAATCAATATCCACTTAACAGCTGTGACCTTGGACAAAACATTTAAAGCCCTCTTAAAACTCATGTTCTTCCCTACTTTGGAACGAAAGAAAGCCTACATTCAGTCCTTCAATTCTTTTGTCAAATCTCCACATCTCAGTATTGTGCTGATGAAAGTGATGGATTAGTTGAACACACCCGTTCATCCTGATACTTCATGATCTAAGTAATGGATACAGACAATAACAAATAACTAATAAGTGTTTTCAAGATGGGACAGAGTGTGAAAGCTGCATAGATTCAAAACCCATTCACTGAGGAGCTGGAGGTAAGTGCTGTGAGACAACAGCACAATGCAGGCCTAAGGACGTAAAAGGAAAGACGCAGCTTCAAAATTTTTATTGACCATGGCTCAAAGAGAAAACGGAACCAAAAAATAATAAGCTTCTGTTTCATATAATACATGCTGCTTTTCATATTTTTAATACTGACAGCAATGAATTAATTTCCTGACCTGAATTATTAAAAACACTAGTCTAGAAGACCAAAATGACAATATCCCTAGAATTAAGAGACAGGAAGTCAGCATGCTTTGTAACAAAGCTTCAGTTAAAGGCCATTCAAATAATCATTCTGACTACTTTCCTTTTATCCCCACCACAATGACAAAAACTAACATTTGGTTTTAGGGGAGGACTACTTTTTCTCAAAAAGGAAAACAAAATGTACAGTTTCTCAAGAATGTACATCAAAAACCATCTCCAACAGGGTAAAAAGGAAAGCCACAGACTGGAAAAGAATATTTGGTAATGTCTGATAAAGGACTTATATCTAGAAGGTATAGAATACTTGAGCACCACACAAGATAAACAATCCAGTCGCAAAATGGGCACAGGATATGAACAGACACTTCACCAAAGAAAACATCCAAGTGGCGAGCAAACACAAGAAGAAATGTTCAAAATCTCTAGTGATCAGAGAAATGCAAATACAAACAACTACGAGGTGTCATCTCACCTCAGTAACAATAGCAAAATTCAACAGAGCAGCAAACAACAAATACTGGCGAGGTTGTAGAGAAACTGGAATCCTTATTCACTATTGGTGGAAGTGTAAAATGGTGCAACCACTCTGGAAGGTAGTATGGAGCTTTCTCAAAAAGTTGCAAATAGAAATATCATTTGACAGAGCAATTCCACTACTGGGAATATACCCTAAAGAAACCAAAACTACCACTCAAGCAGATATATGCATACCCACGTTTATTGCTGCATTGTTCACAATAGCAAAGAGATGGAAACAACCCAAGTGCCCTTTAACAAACTAATGGACAGAGAAGCTGTTTTATATTCACACAATGGAATACTATACAGCAGTGAAAAACAGGCAATCATGATATAGTATGCAAAATGGGTGACCCCGGAGGGCATTATGCTGAGTGAAATCTCAGTCAAAAAAGGACAAATTCTGCATAATGCTAGTTATAAAACAGGATTGACACCAGTGATGGGGGGGGGGGAACTAAGCAAAGCGGGGATTAATAATATACACTGCACTGAAACGGATGAGGGAAAGTACTGTTTAAAAGAAATATATGACTAGGTATTATTTGCATGATAACAGTCCAGAATAAGAGCTGCAAAGTAAACTGGACTGGGATGGGGATGGGGAATTGTACAATGAAAGACCTTTTTTTTTTCCAAAGAGAAAAACAAACTGGGGGTGGGCAGGGAGGAAAATGTGCAACATATGAATGGAAATTAAAAAAAATTTTTTTTAATGCAATGATGTACAAAGAGCATACATACATTTGGAAATTGTTTCATCTCTCTCACTACTTGATTTACTGCACACAACAATCTGAATTCTTATCTAAGCAAAATCACTAATTATTACAGGTTATCAAACTTAAGAACTAAAATGAGAGATTTACAGAGCAGTATGCTAAATAAGAATTAACGGAGAAGTGAACAATAATTCTACAATTTCAAATATGCAAAGTAAAAAAGCACTTGCTATGTGCAGAGTTCTATGTCAACTGCTACAAAAATAAAAATACAAGGCTTCAAACCAGTTTAGTCATTGCTATCATAGAAAAACTGTAACAGATCTAAACCTGTAAAATGTATGAACAATGACAAGAATGGGGAGAATTACTGAGCTGAGCCCTCAAATGGGAGTTTTCAAACAGGCACAGTAAGTCCTTTTAGGAACCTGATGTGTGAAAGCTAATTGCTGTCTGGACTGTGGAGAACAGCACACATTCATAGAGGCAAGTCAGTCACCACCATTGCATCTCCACAACTCACAATTGTTGAGTTAGAATCGGAATCAACTCACAGCTGACTCTCCAGAGGACTTAGAGGCTGTAAATCACACAGAAGGAGACTGCCCAAACATTCTTCCACAGAGCGGCTGGCGGCTTCAAACCACCTGACTTTGGGTTGGCAGTGCAACTCCTTATCCACTAGGCCACCAGAGCACCAATTCTCTGAACCGGCATCAAAATTTACAACCCTGATGATCAAGAGATTTGCCTAATAACACACTAAGAGATGATTATTTCCAGCAGAGAATCAAGTGAATCATTTTTCTGATTGCAGTTTCCATGCTGATGTGCCACTTTTTAAAAACTCAAATTTGTTCCAGTTTCACTTGGCCTGTCAACCATTACTAAATCAAGAAAAATGGACTCAGAGATCTTTAACAGTCTTAACAAAACATAGTATTTCAAAAAGTTTACAATCTCATAAAGGAGATAAGAGAAAACTAATATAGAACACTACATATACTAACGAACAAATAGAGTTTTATGGACATAAAGGACAACCAGATTTATTTTTGTCAAGGAAAACAGAAACAGTTTCAAAGTATATATAAAATAGATCTTGATGCAGAAATACGAAGATACATAACTAGGAGGAAAAAGCTTTTTAAAAAAAAATCAAAGGTAGGAGTTTGTAGAGAAATAGAAGAGAAGCTAAGCCAGCTGAATTTATTGAAATAACCTAGAAGAAAGAGATTTACTCTAAACACTAATCAAATTTGAAGGGTCTTGTAGTGTTAAGGGTTTACTGTTCAAAAATGGCTTTCCAAGTCATTGAATTTGACTTTCATGTGCATGAGAGGGAATACGTGCACAGGGATGCATTAGCCTATCTACAGGGAACTGGCTAGTCTTGCTACTAATTGAGCAGACACAACAGCAGACTCATAAGAGCCTCACCATCAGCAAAGAAGTAGCAGGTAAGTAGTGCATGCTCTTTGGGGCCAGAGATACACCAGCTAGACTTATAGCAGCAACAGCAGCAGCAACAGCAGTTGAAGCAGAGAACCAGAACTCCAACATAAGACATCAGCCGGAACTGACCTTGGGATGCTACCCACCTCCCCAGAAACAAGCTAAGAGCCTCTGTCCAAGTTTGCTGGAGGATGGGGAGCCATAATTGGCAAAACAATAGTAATTAGAAAGCATGGAATGCAAAATTAAAACGTCAATGAGATGAGCAAGGCAAATTATTAGTTTCATAGGAAAAATCAAAGTACAATTATACAATGGCATTTCTAAGAAAATGAATTACTATCTCAATCTATTAAAGATAATTAGTAGTTTACCATGTTCTACCATTTATAAAAAGAACAATTCAGAATATGAGAAAAACAGAAAACAACAAACCACAGTTATGCTAACACACTAGACTCAGTGTCTACATACTACAGAGCAGGAGTTCAGAAAGCACTTCCAGAAAGTTTACAACCTAGACAACCCAATGGGGCAACACTATTCTACCACTGCAAGAAGTCAAAACTGACTCAGCATCACCTAATAACAACAAGGTTTATTTTCTACATTTTCCCAAAATTTTACAAATGCCTTCAAATGTAACCATCAGGGCATCTAATTCTTGTTAACAGAAACAAAAGTTGAGAGAATTCACTTCTAATACACCGTTTTCTATTTAAACTCATGATTCATTCAATAATTCTATATTCAAACATTTGAAATTTATAAATGTCCACATACCTTTAAATTCACTTCTTAGAGCAAACTTCTTTAAAGCACTTATGTCACAGTTCATAAGTATTCTCATTAACTTTATTAAACAATACCAAAGAATAAATATTTTGCAAGTAAAACTGGCTTTGTATAAATGTTCTTATCGCTTCCTAACAGGTAAGTTAGGAAGCTACAGCATCTCAAACATTCTCTTACCTGCTCAACCGCGTGGGCTTTTTCCTGCTCTATTTTCCTTACAGTTTCTTTTTCAGCTTTCAGTGATGATAATGATACAGTCTTAACAGACATAAAGTCCACAGTCATCCACTCATCTCTCTGTTTAAAAAAAGGAAGTCATTTCAATCCAACCTGATAAGAAAACTTAACAACGAACCTTTAACAAACCTGGTATAAAACCTATGAGGCTGGGCAATTTTAAGCAGGTTTCTTACTCTCTCTGAGCCCATTTCCTTCTTTATAAAATGAGATTAAAACTCATTAGTTTTTGTCTATAGCACAAAAGTAAATACAAAAAACCAAAGAGTGAACTGTATGGTCAACCATGAACTTCAGTTAATAATATGTCAGCAACTGGTTCATCATTTCTAACAAATACCTCACATAATTCTAAGAAATCAGCAATAGAACAAGTGAAAGTAAGAAGTATAAAAGAATTCACCGCACTTTCTGGTCAGTCAACTTTCCCACAAACTGGAAAGCACTTTAAGCAGAAGGCTGAGGATGGGCAGGGCAGAGTGGCATTAATCATAGGGATGCACAATTTGAAGGGTAGAAGGAGGTGTGGGTGGATGGGCGAATGAAATGGTAAAGATCTGGTGTGAAAAACAATGTAAACAAACTGCAAATAAACCAGTGTGTGCGGGATGTGTGTGTATAAAATCTACTAATTTAGGAAAACAAAGGTGGGGAAGCTCTCTCTTTTACAAAACTATCTTAACGAATGCATGAGACATCATATAGAAAGCATTCAGCACAGTGTCTGGGGGCAGGGGAGGTCGTCCTCAAACATTAGTTCAGCTTCTTCCTTCATCTGAGTCTAGTAGTGGATAAATTACATTCTTCCTAGGCATATAAATAAATGACAACCTCAAATATGTGAACTATTTAACCATAAGCACTGCTAAGAAAATTACGGTGTGAGTGAAAGGGGGAAAAATCCAACTCCATTAACTGCAGAAAAGTCTATTAACTGCAGAGAGCAGTAACAGCGTAACGCTCCAGGTACATAAGAGAAAATGCTTCTTCTCTATCAACATTAGAGTTTAGGAAATCCTCTAATAGAACAGAAGAGAAATGATCACTCACTTTCTCACAGCAGGAGGAGATATAGCATCTAAAGGTTCAGTCAATGGCGTTATTACCACAAATTACTCATAAAAATACATTCTTTTCAGGCTTACTTTTCTCCTGAAAAAAATTACATTCCTCTTTCACATTAGCATTCAGAAAGTCTTTAAAGTTAACACTTCTTTGTTTAAAATTAGATATCTTACCCGAATAACTTCGTGGTCTCCTCTGTCTGACTTTTCCTCTTTCACTTTCCAGGCCTTTTCTTTGCTAGGAGGCTGGGAAGGGACAGCTTCAACCCATTCATCTTCAGAACTCTAAAAAATATTCAGCACAGAAGTGAATGCATCACATTTACATATTTGGATATAAGAATCCTGTGCTATTGGGTTAGTGATAAAGAACTGTGCAACCAACACAAAGGCCCTTAGTTCTAATCCAGTAGCTGTTCTGTGGAAAAGACTGGCAATCTCTTCCTGTGTGACTTACTGTCTCTGAAAACCTGCTGCAGGGTCAGCCACGGGTTGGTTCTGAGTAGACAATAATCAACAATAACAATAACTGTTAAATGGTAGAAATACAGCTGTCAAATTTTCTAGCAAGAATTCTTCTGTTTCTCCTTTTAAAAAATTATAGTAGAAATTTGAAAAACATTCACAATGTTGAGTTAAGCTCACAAAAGCTCAACTAAATTAGTTCTGTTTTCTTAAGAGTTTATTATCAAACCAAGGGAGAGCAAACACATCAGAGCTGCCAGGGGATACACTCAAGCACAGAACTGCAGCTCCTACTGACATCAAGCAGTGCTGACATATTTGCTTAAGCAGAACAGGGAAAGCACACCCAAGCAAATAAGTTGCCTGTTTGTCCTTAAGTCTCAAATTTTATCATTGCCTTAGATCTCAAGACACACAGTTCTCAAGTGACAGCTAGTCTGAAAAGGTACTTGCTGTGTTAAAATACAAGATTGTTAATTCATTCAAAAAGCATTTAGCCAGGATCCCTTATGTATTCAACCTTACGCCAGGTTTTGGCTTTTGCTTTCAACAAATATATCAATCAACAATATTCTTTCACAGCTCTTACATTAAGACTTTAAAACAACCCTGTAAAATATTTTTTGTGCTTGAAACATGTAAAGTTGAGAGACAAAAACCACCACTCACTGTCATGGAACCAAGTCAGTGCACAGCAGCCTTCCATGGGGTTCCTGAGGCTGCAGACGCTGACAGGTGGACTACTCATCTTTCCTCCCACGGAGGAACTGGAGTATTTGAACCCCTAACTTTTAGATTAGCAGTCTACATGTCCTGGCAGTGTAGAAGGCTAAGTGTCAGACTACTTGCTAAGTGAAAATTCACAGTTCTAATGCTTCAGCCATTTCTCCAGAGAAAAACAAGGCAGTGTGCTCCTGTTAATGAAGATATACAGCCTAGGAAACCCAATGAAAGATTGGCATGAAAGAGAAGAAATTCTGGAGCACATTCTAAGCCAACAGAAGCTGTGGCTGAGGTGACAGAGGAGATAATTACTAGAGCACGGTCTTGGAGAAATGGAAATCATTAGCATCAAGATCATTACAAGAAGATATGCTTTGAGCAGGAAGAGTTAATAGGAGATAAAAATAGTTATGTCGGCAACCAACTAGATGGAATTCATCTACTAGACCCAGATGTAGTTGCCCGGTTCAAGGAAAGATATCCAGATGGTGTCATCTCTAAACCTAAGAATTTATAGAAGCTCTTACTTAAACAGAGAAGTATTCACAGCCATGGTTCTGCAGGCTATACCTGAAGAATTACTGTACAATATAGTTCTTTTCCTTATTTAAATAAAAGTTTATATTATAAAAAAAAATAGTTATGTCATTGATATTGTTGTTGAGTACCATTGAGTCGGAACCAACTCAAAGCTGACCCTTCCAATGAGCTTTCAGAGACAGTAAATCGCATGACAGGAGACTGCCCATCTTCAACCACAGAACAGCTGTCGCAAAAGATCGGCAAAACCACCACATACCTTAGGGATGGCAGTGCCATTCCTCACCACTAAACCAACAGAATAACACATAATAACAAGAACATACTATGACAGGTATGGAAGCAGGAATGGCATCCATTTCCTAAACAACATGCCACCAGAAACTCTATGAACGTTCATAAATGTCGATAGTTGTAGAAAGGCTTCAAGCCTTTTGTTCACAGGGTCGCTCTAAGTCGTGTTCAACTCGAAGGCAATTAATAACATCAACAAAAAACCAACAGAGCCCCTTAAGGATTGGCAGGTTGTTTTTGCTGTGTGCTTTCAAGTCCTAACTAATCACAGCTGACCCTCCAATGGATTTTCAATGGCAGTAAACTGTATCAGAGGAGACTGCCCATCCTCCCACAGAGCAGCCGGTGGATTCGAGCCATGTGCCTTTGGGTTGCAGCTCAGAATAGGTACAGATATAAATCATTTTCTAGGAGGAGATAGGAAAACAATGATGAATTAAGAGGAGAGACAATTTCAGGGGGAGGAGGAATTGGCAAAGTCCTTGAGGAGGGTGCTGCAGAAAGATATTGAGCACCTGTTATTTGCAAAGTACTAAACTGGTACTTGGAGATACAAAATAACCAAAAGAAATATGGATCCTGACTAATAAACTTTCTGCTTACAGAAGAGTAGGGAGCTCAGGTGGTGTATGCTATAGGCAACTGAGCTGCTAACTCCACAAGACTGCACATCTCTGGCAGTTCGAGTCCCCCAGAAATTCCCACTGCCTCTTTTTCTCCCAAAGAGCAGCTGGTGGATTCTAACTGCTGGTCTATTGGTTAACAGGCTAATGTTACGCTGTACAGCCACCAGGGCTCTTTATTAAAGAAACAGTAAAAGACAACTGTAAAAATGATAAATGCTTTGAAGAAAGAGAGTAAGTGAAGGGAATGGTGGAATGAAATAACTAAGAAGAATTCTAGTTGGGGTAGTGTCTAGCTTAATTGAAATTGTAGATAATGATGTTTAGATTTATCTGGGTTGTTAGACTGGTTACAGCTGTTGCTCTAGTTAGTAACTGGGTTAATTCAGGAAATACAGGTACTACTGTTAACTCAGCTGTCACAGTTCAAAATTCCAACTGCACATTAACAAGTTACATTTCCAACAGAGTAAATGTTGGAATCATATATAGATTTGTGTCATAGTCTCTCACGTGGGCTCTGTACAAGCTTGAGTAGTTGATTTTGGAAGGTTTACTTACATTTTAACTCCCTGCTCTTTATTATCTTTAAGTTGGGAATAAGGAGAACTTTTCATGATATTATGCTCTCTCCAATAAACAACTTATATTCTTAAAAGAATAGCCTACACCCACCTACATTCCAACTTTCATACATCTCTCATAACTCTACTTGTGGCTCCAGGCCCCATTAATCTACTGAAACTGCTTAAAAGGCCCAACTGCCAAATACAACAAAATTATTTTCCTTTTAATCTCACTAGGCCTCTCTACTGAATATAACTCTGCTAAAGACTCACTTTCCTGGTTACTATGACAATGTTCTAAGAAAATGTCTAATCTTCTTTTGCACAAGCCAAGCTTTATTTCTATTACCTCCAACCTAAGTACCAAACTAATGCATGTCCTACACTCCACATTTTCCTGGTCTTCTTTTTCTAAGCTTCACATCAAATACATTCAGAGTAATATAAAGGGCATATCTGCTCACAGTACACCCCTTACTAAAATGCTTCTCTAGCTCCCTATTGCTATCACAAAGACTACCAATTGCCCAACAGCAATGTTCCTCATTTTTTCCTACCAAGAAACACAAATGTATATGGGAAAGCAATGTGACGCCCTGACTAGAAAGTAAAGCCTTATGGTCCTGTGTTCAGGTAAACATAAATGAAAGTATAACGAAAGACTCTCTGAAAGTCAGTAAGAGAGAGAATCTTTTTCCTTGCTATCTAGACTAAGAGGTCTAGAAGGAGCAAGACAATAGAACCACTGGCACTGGACAACCATGTTAGTCCAGGAGTGACCTCCTGAATTTATAAGAGAAAAACAAATAAACTTTGACTCTGTTTAACTAATAGCCATTTTAATATTTTTTTTTAATAAATGAAGTGGAACCTAATTACATGATGGTATTTCTACTGAAGGGAGCTCTTGATGGCCTAGTAGTAAGAAATTGCCCTGCCAATACAAAAGTATGTGGTTCGAATCCATCAGCTGCTCCACAGAAGAAAGACAGGCAATCCCTTCCATATGATTTACTGCCTCTAAAACCCTGCTCAGCTATGAGTCAGTTATGACTCAATGGTATGCAACAACATTGCTACTAAAATCAAAGCTCTTGGTTTATGAGGTCCTACCAAACCTGACAGTTTCATCTCTATTCACTGTTTCATGACCTGTTGTTGTTGTTGTTATGTGCCATCGAGTCATTTGCAACTCATAGCGACCCTTCGTACAAGAGCCCTAAACGCCGTTCTATCCTGTGCCAACCTCACTGTCTCAAAAACATTCATTCCCACCACTCCACTCACAGAATCGATCCATCTCATCAAGGGTCTTCCTCTCCTGCACCGTCCATCCACTCTCCCAAACATGATGCCTCTCTCCAAGGACCAGTCCCTCCCTGCAACATGCCCAAAGTATGTCAGACAAAGCTTCAGAATCTTTGACTCCAGGGAACATTCTGGCGTCACCCTCTCCAGGACAAACTTGTTTGTTCTCCTAGCAGTCCATGGTATATTCAACACTCTTCTCCAGCACCACAGCTCAAAGGCATCAATTCTCTATCATCCCTATTCACTGTCCAACTCTCTGATGCATAGCACGTAATTGCAAAGACTATAGCCTGGATTAGGTGCACCTTAGTCTCCAGCCTGACGTCTCTGCACTTCAGTACTCTTGAGAGGTCCCTCACAGCTGACTTTCCCAATACAATTCGTCTCCTGATTTCCTGGCTGCTGTTACCAAGAGTGTTAACTGTGGAACCAAGTAAACGAAAACTATTAACTATCTCAATCTCTTCACCGTCCATACTGATGCTGTCAATTGGCCAAGTGGTGAGAATCTTTGTTTTCTTGATATTGAGCTTTAATCCATATTGAAAACTGCAGTCCTTGACCTTCTGCAGCAAGCACTTCAGGTCCTCCTCAGTTTCAGCAAGCAGGGTTATGTCATCTGCATAGTGCAGGTTGTTGACGATTCTTCCACCAATCCTGATGCCACATTCCTCCTCGTAGAGCCCAGCATCTTGGATGATGTGTTGTGCATACAGCTTGAAAAGGTATGGAGACAAAATACATCCCTGACGGACCCCCTTCT